TTCAAAAATACCACAATCATCTCAAATATGCCAATCCACCTCAGTCTTGCTATTCATTTTAAAATGTAATATTGAACTATAGACTCAAATCAAGACATACTATTTTAAAAGATAATTAACTTACAGTATGTGCCGTGAGGCATAGTACCTCTATTTACTGTATAGCACAGTAGATGCATGCTAGGTCAGGTGATGTTAGTTCTGGGACATAGGTGTGGAGTAGGAAAATGGGCAGCATGAATACTTATACTGTCTCAACCAATCCCTGTTGGAGACTGCACAGATGGTTGCTGGGATGGTGTATAAACAGTTTGAGACCTGGAACAAAGGTGTCTTGTCCATTAGGAGATCACAGCCTAGGGAGCTATCTTCCCACCTGGGCTCCCGGTCCACTCTTTGCTGCAAGCAAGGATTCCTGTTCACATTACTGCTGTGGCTTTTGTTTAGAAGTCATTTCTACCTAAAGGGAATTCACTATTAGGTGTTCCTGAAATGCTTGGTACAATATTTGCTGCAATCAAGGACCCTTGCTCACCTTATTAACAAAAAGCTTAATGTCCTCAAGTTCATAGCTAAATGTTACTGGAGTATCCTAGTTACCCTGAACCTATCCAAGTTCAAGTTCTGCAATAAACATCAGAAAAGTATGCCCCTAAACTGTTCATAGAGCCAAAGGGGTGACTGTGACTTTGTGCCTAGCTATGTCACAACTACTAGGAAAATAACCCTGGGCATTAATTCAGCAGCCCCTTGTGGTGGTAAGCTTTGCAACTGTAAAATCTGTTGTCTGTAGGTGCTCCAATCAGGAGTTAACTTTTCTTGACTGCATATATATTATATTGTTACAGAAGTGTTACTGCTCCTATGTTCAATTACTCGTAATTGTGACAATAAAGTCTATTAAAAAAAAGACAATATTAACTCACATTACATGTATTAGCTGTTTTTTGTATTTCCTCCTATGAGTTTACTGTTAAAAATGCCCTCTGTGCCACTTGGACACACAGGTAGTGCAAGAGTTGTGGCTTTTGCTCTGTGAAATTTTTCTTTGAGGAGAACACACACCTCATACACACCTCATACATTAGATGCCAAATAAAATTGCATACATCCACAAAAAACATTAGATATGGTAACAAAATAATTGGATGATAAGCAGAATGGGCAAAGAAAATGTTAAATTCAACAGGAACACAAACACAAAAAGCACTACAGCACAGGAGCAAAGGGCCCAAACACAATTTAACAGTAGGGTTATTCAACATGCCAACCACAAGCTATTGAGACTGAGAGGCAAATATCCATTGTCAGAATCATAGTACAAAAGAAAATGCCAACATGACCTTCACATGCAGTATATAACTCTTGTGGAAGAAAGTGCAGCATATGTATAAGCACAGCCAAGATTCATTGTCATGTGAATAAAATAATTATTGTGAAGACACGTGTTATAGCTTAGTTAGCTTAGTGAAATAAGCTTTTTCAACTTTAGCTCTGCATGTGGTGCATATTTTGAGGACTGCTACAGCCACAAATACCAACCAAACACTATTTTCCAAGTACTATGCTGGCTGTCCAAATCCAAGAATAAATTCCTATTGTTCCACTACAAATTAAGCCAAATAAACCTTATAACCATCAAAAACATAAACTATTAATGTCTTTCAACAAAACAAATGGCATTGTTTTAAGTGAACATACAGTTAAAAAAAACACAAGTTAAAGCAGGACTTACAATCTTCAAGTAATTGAATAATTAATAAAAGTCTATATCATTATAAAAGATTACATTTTATCCATTAAAGTAACAATAGAGTTGAAGCACAACAACTATTCTTTATTAAATTCAAATCCATCTTGAAATATCAGTCTAAAGGACATTTGAATATATGCAGGCTTTGTCCAGAAAAATAAGAGTTATCTGTCACAAAGTGATTTTGTTCTTAGAAGATAACCAAAGGTCTAAGTGCAAAAGAATTATGATTTCTCTGCAAACATCATCGTATTAGATATTGTACATTGTTGCTTAAAATGACACATTTTTCAACAAGTTGCAGCTTAGTGTAGCACTTTGAATTTCAATAGAAATTTTCAAGCCTGTCTGAGAAAAGTTTTCCCATAACGGCGCATAATGAGGCTCTGTAGAATGCAAAGCCGCTGTCAACATGTACTTAAACTCTTAGTTATTACCATATATTTTCATTTTCTGTTGTCCACAAGCCTAACCATGGAAAGTAAATGGTGACTAAGTAAGAAAATAAATCCTTGTCCAAACTCTTTTGTCAAAAACTCCCTGTAAATCTTGAACTACTTGCACTCCTGAGGATTTACCCCCCCTTAATGACCAGGCCTCTTTTTTGCTACTCAGAGCTGCACTAATTGAACTGATAATTGCGCAGTCATGCAATGCTGCACCCAAATAAAATTTACGCCCTTTTTTTTCACACAAATAGAGCTTTCTTTCAGTAGTATTTGATCACCTGTGCGCTTTTTATTTTTCACGCTATAAACAAAAAAAAAAAAAAAATTTTGAAGAAAAACAATATTTTTTACTTTCAGATATAAAAAATATATAGTAAACTCAAAGTTAGTTATACATTTAGGTCAAAATGTATTCTGCTACATGTTTTTTTGGTAAAAAAAATTCCAATAAGTGTATATTGATTGCTTTGTGGGAAAGTTATAGCGTCTACAAACTATGGCATAAATACTACAATTTACACCATCTTTTTGCTATACAGCACTGCGCTAGTTTAACGGACAATTGCATGGTCATGCAATGGGGTACATAAATTAAATTTATGTCCTTTTTTCACACAAAGAGAGCTTTCTTTTGGTGGTATTTGATCACCTCTGCAGTTTTTATTTTTGGCGCTATAAACAAAAAAAAGTTTGAGGAAAAAACATTTTTTTTTAAATAACAATATTTTCTCATTTCTGTCATAAAAAATATCCAAAAAAACGAATATTTCATCATAAATTTAGGCCAAAATGTATTCTGCTACATGTTTTTGGTTAAAACAAATCCCAGCAAGTGTATATTTATTGCTTTGTGTGAAAGTTATAGCGTCTACAAACTATGGTATAGGTAATGGAATTTACACAGCTTTTACTTTCTGACTGCTCATCATATTTCTTAAGGTGCTAAAATACCAGGATAGTACAAACACCCTCAAATGACCCCTTTTTCGAAAGTAGACACCCTAAGCTATCTGCTGAGAGGCATATTGAGTCCATGGAAGATTTATTTATTTTTCCACAAGTTAATGGAAAGTGACAAAAACCTTTTTTTGTTTTACACAAAGTTGTCATTTAAATGATTTATTTCTCGCACAAGCCATGGGTATATATAGAATTGCACCCCAAAATACATTCTGCTACTTCTGCCGAGTATGGGGATACCACATGTGTGGGACTTTTTGGGAGCCTAGCCACATACAGGAGCCTGAAATCCAATGACCACTTTGAAAGCCTGAAGGTGCGTAACTTCCTCATTTCACTTCCTCAATACCTATCACAGTTTCGAAGGCCCTGACATGCCAGGATAGCACCAAACCCCCCCCCCCCCCCCCATGACCCCTTTCTGGAAAGTAGACACCCAAGGTATTTAAAAAGAGGCATGGTGAGTATTTTGCAGATCTAATTTTTTCTCACAAGGTTTTGAAATATAAAAAAAAGAATAGAAAAAATATGTTTTTTGTTTTTTTTTCTTCATTTTCCAAAAACTTGTGGTAACAAATTAGATCTGCAAAATACTTACCATGCTTCTTATCAAATTGCTTGGGGTGTCTACTTTTCCAAAAAGGGGTCATTTGGGGGGGTTAGGTGCTATCCTGGCATTTCAGGGCCTCCGAAACTGTGATATGTAGTCTGGAAGTGTAATGAGGAAATAAAGTCCTTTAAAAGCCTGAAAGTGCTTATTGGATTTTGGGGTCCTGTGCTTGGCTAGACTGCAGAGGTATAGCTAGGGGGGGCAGGGGGGTACATATGGGGCGACAAGGTACAGGGGCACCAAAATAAGGTCACAAGATCACTGCAGCAGCTGCAGCAGACGAATCATCTGATACATCTGCCATCCACAGTGAGTTATGAGAGGAGGAGAGAGGAGCCGGCCGGGAGAGGAGCGGAGTGGAGGGCAGTGAGCCGGCCATGTGCCAGAGGGGATGAGGGGAGAGCCAAGCTGGGTGAGTAGTGCCATGGATGAAGGGGGGGGGGGCAATGTGATCGGGACGGGGGGTGTCTACAGGGGACCATATGAAGGGGGGTGTCATGAGGTGGCTATTCGTCCCCGGGCGCAAAATATCCTAGCTACGCCTCTGCTAGACTGCCAAAACGTCTCTCACATGTGGTTCCCCCCTACTTGGGAGAAGTAGCAGAATGTATTTTGGGGAGTAATTCCACATATAACCATGGCATGTGTGAGCAATAAATCATTTAAGTGACAATTTTGTGTAAAAAAAAAAAATAAAATAAATTCTTCAATTGATCCAACATGCCTCTCAGCAAATAGTTTGGGGTTTCTACTTTCCAAAAAGGGGTAGTTTTTGGGGGTGGGGGCGTTTTATGCCCAGCATTAGAAGTTTTTATGCCACACATCACTCACTCTTCTAACCACCTGAAGATCAAGCCTTTTCTGACACTTTTTGTTCACATGAAAAAAAAATCTGTATTTTTTGCTAGAAAATTAATTTAAACTCCAAACATTATATATTTTTTTTAAAACAAACACCCTAGTGAATAAATTGGTGGGTACTACAATTTTTTATGGCACATAGTACTCGCGCAGCGGTTTTTTAAAAAAAACAATTAAAAAAAAAATACACTTTTTTTACTTTTTATGCACAAAAACACAATATATTGGCTAATTTGGTAAGGTATAAAAGATGATGGTATGCAGAGTAAATAGATACCAAACATGACATGCTTTAAAACTGCACATGCCCCATGCAATGGCTACAAACTGCATACATTTTTAATATACATAGCAGGGGTGTACTGACCATTGGGGCGGACTGACCATTTGGAAACTCGGGCACTGCCCAAGGGCCGGGGTCAGTAGGGGGCCCCATGAGATGCCCCTGGTACCCTTTTTCATAGGCTTTTTTGAGTTTGGGCAAGGAGACGGGCCCCATGATATCCTATTGCCCGGGGGCCCCATGAGTTGTCAGTCCGCCCCTGATCCATAGGCAACACTTAAAAAGCCTTTAAAAGCTACCATTTTTAGATTTACAGAGGAGGCCTAGTGTTAGAATTACTGCCCTTGATCTGACATTCATGGCGATACCTCACATGTATGGTGTAACCGCTGTTTACATACCGGCACAGGGTCAACGCTTGTGCACACAGGTGTGCGTGTATGGGAGGGGCAAGTTTTTTTTTTCTTTAAGTTATTTTGATTTTTTTAAATTATTTTTACACTGTACCTTTCATTTTTTTTTTTAGCACTTTTAATGCTATCACAGGGAATGCAAAAATCCCCTATAACTTCAATGGACATTGTCACATATTCTTTTTTGAGAAATCTGGGGTCTATTAGGCTCTAGATATCTCCTCTGCCCTTACATTATCTAATAAAACCAAAATCAGTGTGATCAGATGCTTTCCCAATTTACAAATGGCGCTGTTTATATCCTGCAAAACTGAAGTGATGAAATGCTCGTAGCTTCCGAATTCTTAGACTATAGAGATGAATTGGCACCACTCTGGTCTCCAAGCAGCTCTAAGGTCAGCTGGCAGAAACACCAGCTGCATTCTCAGGTTCCCCCGATGGCACGGGACTGCCCGAGAAGGCCGTGGAAGGCAGCGGGGGGGGGGGGGGCATCATATCCCGCTGCTTGTAAAAGCAATCCTGCAGCTAATTAGTCACTAGGATTGCTTTTACATGAAAGCCGATCGCTGGCTGAAAAAAAGAATACCAGGATGATGCCTGCAGCTGTAGGCATCATCCTGGTATAACCATTCAAATCCAGTGATGTACCAGTACATCTCTGGTCCTTGTTGGGTGTATATGCTATGTTCTTTTTTTTGTATGCAGCCTGTGGACTGAATGAAAAAAAGAGAAGAAATCTCTGCCAGAAAAAAGTGTGTGGTATACCCACCCAGGGGCGGACTGACAACTCATGGGGCCCCCGGGCAATAGGGGATCATGGGCCCCCTGTTTCCTTGCCCAAACTCAAAAAAGCCTATGAAAAAGGTACCAAGGGCATCTCATGGGGCCCCCTACTGACCCCTGGCCCTCGGGCAGTGCCCGAGTTTCCAAATGGTCAGTCCGCCCCTGTGCCCATCATTAGAATATACCAACCTGCATCCACCCACTTCTAATGGTGGGCACACATTAGGTCACACTTTGCCACATGCGCCAGTTCCAAGATTGAACAAATGTCTAAATAGTGTCACGCTTGAATAAAAATTGTCCATGAATAAGTGGTACCCCATATGGAAAAAGGATGATACCAAGGCCCAAACTATCTTGCCACTGCTTCCCATGTAGTCTGGGCATCCGGAGGGCTCCTTGTGACTATCTTTTCCCTCGTAAATCCAAAACTTAAAGTATAGCCTGTTGTCCTCTCACAGGCCTTCTACATCTTGACCCCATATCTGGCACGCTTGCTGGGGAAAAATTATTTGAATGCAAGGCGGCCAGAAAAATTAATCAGGGACTCATCAACGCAGATGTTTTGCTGGGGAGTATAGACATCTGCAAATTTTTGGTTAAGGTGATTTGCGAGGGGCTAAATTTTGTGGAGCCAGTCAAATTCAGGGTCACCCCAAGGATGACAGAGTGTATTGTCGTTGAAATGCATAAAACACACATTATACTCTCATATCTATGCCTGGCTATGGCAGCAGAGAACACAGGCATATGATGAATCGGGTCTGTGGACCAATACAACCGCAATTCATTTCTTTTGGTAATGCCCATGTTGAGGGTTAGGCCCAAGAAAAATGTAAATTTGAAAACCGTAATGAGTTTCCATGCGACTGGTCTGGCAAGGTTTGAATTTGGGTTGGCGGCGATAAATTGTTGTGCATATAAATTGCTTTGATCCACAATCAACGCATACAGATGTTCCGTGAAAAACAGATCCAAAAATCAAGGAAGTATATGAAAGACCAGGATGTACTAGACCGCTGGTACTCGCCGGTTCCCCAAAAGGTAGAGCGGCACTAGTACTGGCACTCTGCTGCATATGAGAGTCATCAAAATTTACCGACAAGTGCTAACAGAGATCAGGCCTTATTCTGCGAACACTGTGGTTTTGTGTGCAATGTATCAAGTGACAGTGACCTACTGACACTGTACTTGCTGGGGGAGAAGGGGGGGTAAGCGTAGGGCTAAACACAGGTGCTGGCAGGTGCCGGGGCTGATCCCCCTAACGCTGCATTTTTGGGGATGCTATACTAATGTTAGCGCTGGTATAGTGCTGATCTAATCAAAGATATTGATCCGTTCAGAAACTATACTAGCAATGGAGGTTTATTGTGCATGAGTGTGCTCCTGGGAGTCAAGGGGTTAAATTTGATGACTGGTGTACTGACGGGCAATCTGACGCTATCTGGGAGGGGCGTGAAAACCATGGGAGCGCAAATCATATATATATATATATATATACGTATATATATATATATATATATATATATATATATGATTTTGCACACCCATGCCACCCTGTAGCAGTATTTCTGCTATAGGGCGGTCAGGAAGCGGTTACAGAAGCGGTTTGTGTTACGTCAATGTGTTACTTTAACTGACAAATGCGCGGTCATGCAACACTGCACCCAAATTAAATTTCTGTCGGTGGTATTTGATCGCCTGTGCGTTTTTATTTTTTGTGCTATAAAAAAAAGGCTGACAATTTTGAGGAAAAAAAAAAAACAATATTTTGGCCTTTTTGCTATAAAACATGTCTAGTAAAAAAATTTAAAAATCTAATTTTATCATGAATTTCAGCTAAAATGTATTCTGCGACATGTCTTTGCTAAAAAAAATCCCAATACGTGTAAATTGTTTTACGTGAAAGTTATAGCGTCTACAAATGGCGGGAAATATACTGGAATTTTTTTTATACTAATAATGGCGGCAATCAGTGACTTATGGCGGTGATCAGCGATTTATGACAGTGATCATCGACTTATGGCGGGACTGCGGCGGGCATTTTGACACTGGGGGGGAACTGACTTAGGGTCACTGACATCCCCAGTGACACCAATTCATTTATCAGTGCAAAAAAAACCCACTGACACTGTACTAATGGCACTGGGGAGGAAGGGATTAACTTATTTTAGGCATTGAAAGGGTTAACTGTGTGAGGGGAGTGTTTTACTAGGGGGTGGAGGTGTGTGCTTCACAGGAACACTCTGATCCTGAGAGATAAACTCCTCTCTCAGGATCTGCATGTTAGGATCTGACAGGGAGCAGAGCTGCATTGTAAACAATGCAGCTGTGCTGTGTCACTGTTTGCTGGCAATCGCCGGGACCCGGCGGGTAATGACCGGCTAGGACCCAGTGATTGACACTCACTGCTGCGATCGGTGGGACGAGTAGGGCAGGCATGCGCTCGCTCGTGCCCCCTACCTATTTTGCAAAATGACGTTTTAAAACGTGATTTTGCCCAGCGGTGCCACCTTGTGCCCGTTTTTCTACAGTGGCTTAAAGTTGTAACTTTGTTTTACATACAGCAATGAAGAGTGTGTTGGTGTCTATTTTGCAGATGAATGAAGTATAATATGTATACAACTTTATTTTATTTTATTGATTAATAATGCAAAATACATAAATTGATTAAAAATAAATAAATAAAAGGGCAGCGTGTGGGGCCCCAGTTGATACATAAGATAAATGCCTGTAGAATAAATAAACTATTCAGCTTTCACATCAGATTGTTACTTTCAACATTAGAGGTGCACATGTTTGATGGAGGATGTGTAAAAAGTATGGTAAAATTTAGATTTTTCTTCAATTATTTTAGAAGTGTAACAGTATTGCTGATCTACTAATCATTATAGCATTTGCGTTTGAATGCTTATTGTAGATGATTGATTTGAGGAAGAGGGAATTGCTTGTTCTGAAAGGTTATGGATTATTAGGCAGCACATCATGTACCATATTGCATAGTGTAAAGAACTGTGTGACAGCATTGCCTTTCCTCAACATTTTGTTAGTAATATACAGAATAAAGGAGGCACATGCTGGGACAACCCTAGCAGTGAGCACTACTACCCAGGCCTGATTTACTAAAGTGTGATGAACAGGAGCCTGTATCCACTGACAGAAGGACAGTCCTGGTGTTTTGTTGGAGCTTACACGAGGGCAGAGCGGCAGCAGGGAATGCTGACAGTGGTGTGTATCAAACCAGACAACTGCAGAGCATTCTCAAGACTGTGTGAAGACACAAGTGTCATGAATGCAGAGCACACTAATTGTCATGGGAAGCACAGGTGCACACAAAAGTCAGTAGATGAGAGTCCTATGGAAATCAGGATGCCTGGAGAGCTTAGAGTGTTAAACCCAACAGTGGATTTTAGTCTTTAGCCAGGGAAGCACTACAGACTTGCCTGAGGGAATAGTGGATTCCTGGATAGGAGTCAGGACCAGGAAGCAAGCCATAGGATTAAGGATTTCTGACCTAGCAGAGGCTTTAAAAGCATCTTTGAATCAAAGGATCAAGAGATTGCATCAGCTTTGAATTTAGCAGTCCCAGGTTTGAAAGTAATCACAAAGCTGAACCAAGAGAAGAATAAGGACCAAGAGCTTACTTGGCAGTCAGGTGATGGATAGTTTTTAACTGCTGGAGGTAATCATGGTCCATGTAAATTTAATCTGATGAGGCCTTCCTTCCAAAAGATACTTTCACTCTAGTTCTTGACCCCTGATGGAATACTTTTACTTTTCTGGGGCCCAGCTAGTGATAGCAGCAATTTTCTTCAAAGAGACATTTCTCAACTTTAGCATATAGGCCATTAGTGGTGCTGGAAGACCAGAGCATAGTATTAAAGAAGCTTCTGAGTATTGCAGGTACTCATAGTGACAGTCTCAAGTATTAAAAGCAGTCTTTCATTTGTCTCTCTCTTTAATGCTAATTAAAGTGTTATTAAACACAGGACTCTGCATTCACTATATCTGGTATCCCACAGTACACAGAACAGCTTCTTGTAGACAT